TGTACTTTTTACATAAATCTAATCAATTTGATACAAAGTTTTATATATTAAAGTAAACGGACTCTAATATTCGTAAATGTTTTAAATACACATTCAATGCTTATGTGGACTATGCGAACAACCGAATTAACTTTCAAACGACTTTAGAATTCCAAATTCCAACAGCTACGAAGAGACAAATATTAACTTTACTGATCTTCTCATGAAAGACTTTATGGAACTGGCATTCCTTAAAATGCAGCATAAAGTTAAAAATTAACAGAGTAGAGGATATTGTTATAAAAATATATTAAGGAGAGAAAAATTAAAGCTGATATAATTTTAAAATAACAATGTTGAAAGATTTTTGGTTACGAAATTTTTGGTACCTATATTTTATTGTTCAAAACATTCATCCATTTGGAATAGTTTCTTTATTGTTTTTTTGTTTCTTTCTTTTTTGTTTTTTGTTTCTTTCTTTTTTGATTTTTTCGTTTCTTTCTTTTTTGTTTTTGTTTTTTTTTTTACTCTTTTTCGGTAAATAATTTTATGATTAACTCTCAGTCGTGGTCGTGATTACATAGCCGTTAATTCTTTTCCTTTCTTTTCTTTGTCTTTTTCTTTTTTAACATTATTAAAATTATCACCCTATTATATAAGCTATTATTATCGTTTGCTTATTTTTCTTAAAATTTGGTGATTTCTTAATGGGCGATCAAACATTTTCAGTTTCACAACAATGCTATTATATATATATATATATATATATATATATATTCAATGCGACTTTCGTGACATTATAATTAATCTAAGAGCTTGAAATGGAGGGAATCGAGGATGGCTTAACAGTTGTCGCAACTATAATTCCCGATCAAATGATACACATTTACAAGTGCCACCAATTATCAGTTACATAATTCTATCGTGAAAAATTCCAGACAGCATTTACATATGAAAGAAGACAATGCGTCAAATACTATCCTTTAAAGAAACCGAGATCTCTTAATCGGTCGACGTCGATTCATCACACAATTACAGGTCGAGAATAATCTATCCGGTCGATACTATAAATTTACTCTCAAAAACTTTAATCGAAATTCGAGTGATCGTGCCAAATCACTGCAATTTTAAGAGAACCGTTTGAAGATCTCAAGGCACACGTAAGAAAATAGTAGGACGCGAGTGAATTTGTCGTTCCGTCAACGGGACCTTCATAAAACTCAAGTTATTATCTATTACAATCGTATATCGCCTGTCATTTGAGCTTCAAGGTTTAATGTATGCATACACAACAGCTTAGACGTGTATGGGACTGTAGTAGTAGTGGTGGTAGCTATGGACTGACTGAATCAGTCATTTTTTATGGCGTCTGAGACGAAGCCCGAAACCGTATTTCCAGAGCTACTCCAATTTGTAAATCGGAGACGCATCTCGCTGTACTCTAGAATAGGTGGACCAACACTAGCCAACTTCTAACATAATCCGTAACGTGAAAGTCATCGAATGGCTCTTATTGGAAATTTGCACTACGAGCGTATTCTCGAGACAAGGAGGGCGAACCCGTCTTCAAGGTCGAGCGACTTCATTTAAGTTGCTCAGAGCTCAAAAAAATTCTTTATCGATGCTATTTAATTAACAATGTTTCCCATATTATCGCGTGGGACTAATGGCTATTGTAAGGATTGTAAAAACGATTGCTATGGATCACGATGGACACCCAACAACTCCGGATGAGTGAGATTTCGTAAGCCGACAACCGAAGCATCATTATTGTTCTACGTTTGAATTATTTGTCCTTTGCGCGACTACACGTCCCACGTTAGATTACATAAACAATTTTAAAATTGATGCACCATATTTGACAGGAAAAGTTCCGAACTGAATAATAATTTTGAGCATTGAGTAAGTTACGAGCCGCTTGGTAATCTTCATTACCAATACTTTCCTCGAGATTACCTTGAAGCTTTATGATTCACTGCTCGGTAAAGAAAAATAGTAGCGTATCTTATCTATGGGCTTCGAGGAACCCATGAGACAAATCAGCCTTTCGCATTTTATTAACTGTTACGATTGGGCTTTCCTGATTTTTCTAAATAATTAATCAATTTGTCCGCAAAGTCCATTATCTTTATTTACATGTATTTAAAATAATATATTGTCATAATTAATCAATGTTAATGAGCGATCTTTGTACATAAATGTAAACTCAAAGGCAGAAAAAATTTACTTCGTAATAACGAAATAGTTTTTATAGATAAATAATATAAAGGATGAAGAGGATTAGGGAGTGTGTACGAATGGGAAGGAGAGGAGGGAGAATGTTGAATTAAAATAAGATAAATGTAACAACAAAAGGTAACATCTTAAATATTCTGATTGTGTAAAGTAGACGCCAAATGTTAATATCTTAAAGAAAGCTATTTTCTTAAGGTAAAATGGGTTTATTCGATTTATTGTTTATCGACTTACGAAGAGAGGTTCTTTGGCACCTTTTTGAGCTCTCTCAGTCAAGTACGAGCAAATAGGGAACTGTGTCGCCTTCAATTAGAAAATCAGTGTTTCGTTCATTTCCTAGGAGACGGACTTAATTGTAATAACTATTATGTGAAATTAAAAAATTATTACTTAAAGAATATGAGAAGGAGTGCAAAATAAAGGTTTCTAAAAGTCAAAGCTTTAAAAAAAGGAAAAAAAATAATAATCAATTAAAAATCAAATCTAATTATTATAAATCAACACAATATGCCCTGAAAGATTTAATCTACCAACTAGATATATTTTGTTCTCTGTGAATTATCACGAGTACGATTAATAAATAAAACGCGCTTAATCTTAAAACAAAAACTATTGTACAATAAATCCTGCAGTTCAGGTACATAGAAATATAATATGTAACGTGCGATAAATAAAAATCTATAACCGTATCGCGTGATTTGCAACGAGAAACTACGATTAACTCATAAAATTGTTTTTTCTTTTTAATCACAAGGTCGGAATGCCAATTCCAACTTGTAGTGTATCGATTTTATTATAGCGAGCAAACAAAAAGGAAAAAAAGGTAAGAAAGTACTAGTAGCCTTGGGCATATAATAACGGCGGCCTTGTTTATTCGCCAATGTGCAACTTTTTTCTTCGCAATGTAACAGCATAATGAAAACAACATAATCAAAGGGCTTAGCCCATAAATAAATCTATTTTAAATAAATAAATATATGACGTACAATAAAACAAAAATCTTAATCACTAGAAGATAATTCGACGTAAATACCGGAAGTTAAGTACTTAGTAACGTGTGCTTCTCGTATCGAAAAAAAGGTTCAACGAAAATTTCAATGTTTGTATTGTATACATATTTGAAATTGTGGCACAGCCGATAAAATAAAGCGAGACCAATCCGATTAAGAACAAAAGTTATGAATGGATTCGACAATCGAAACCTGGCAAAAAAGCCTCGCAATGTCAAAGCTTTGAATCGAGTCCCATAAGAAGTATGTGCTTTTAAGTAACAAAGCCACAGGCGCCAGAATATTACTAACGAGCTCGAGAATTTCCGGTACATTCAAATACTTAGCCGAATGTAAAATATCATTTAAAAAAAAAAAAAAAAAACCAACTAACCATGTCATTGACTTGTACGATTGGAGTGAAAAGACACGTATCGAGTACGCATCATCGCACGCATCGGAAGTTAAAACAAAAGTTAAATAGAGGCACAGTTTATAAAGAGCCGGAAATGGTAAAAATATCTGACGTTCGAATAGCCCGAAAACAATTGGACGTAACTCGAGACGAGTCCGAGGACGCTTAAGCCCGACTTGGTACTCCTGGCTAATCTTGTAAGGAGTCAGAGGATCTGGCCACCTGTGCACCACCACACTTCTCCATGCGTTTCGAGCAGCCGCGACCGACTCGTGAACACTTTCTACTTCATAAGGTATCCCCAAAATGCTGTATTCTCATTAGTCTCGCTCGCATTCGCGTATCCTAGCTCGGGTCCTCTACGATTCTTGCCAAGGACTCCGGCTTCGATGGCGCTTGATCGATCGATCGCGACCTCGACTTGCGGGGAGCCGAGGACTCGACGAGAAGACAGTAATAAATGAAAATAAGGAAAAAAAGAAATAATCCCATCCCCCCTACCTATGCTGCGTATGCTACGTGTAAATACGCTCGAAGCCACTCGCGCAATCTCGGATGAATAGAAGTCGTCTGGATACTTGGACATGTGGATCTGAAAGTTTTGAAGGATAGATGGAGCGGGGAGCAGGGCTGGGCCTATCAGTGGACTCTCGTGTGCCATTTCTCTGCGCGTAGAGAAAAGGTACGTTAACATTTGGCCTTTTATACAATGAAGAATGTGTGTCTATTTCCAACTCGTTACCCTCTTTTATCGATCTCACTCTCACTCTCTTTTTCCTTCTCCCGTGCTTTCTTTCATGCTTGCACCCACACTCTCCCATTCTCTCCCTCCCTCGCACCATCGCTCTATCGCTCACTCACTCGCTCACTGTCAATCATGATTTATCGCTTGTGTATCATTCATTCGAAGGAAACTTGAACCAGAGTTTATTTAGTTATATATCTATATTTATAACTATATACCACTATAGGCGCACGTCTCGTTCAATCCAATGGCAAATGCGTGATTTTGGAATTGCTAATTTACACAATAACCACGTTGCATCGTCAAAACCTGTTACATTTGTTTATTCAACATATTTTAATAGTGGTTATTTTACTCTGACATCGTCAACCCCCCCTCTACACACCCCTGTTTTTATCGAAGAAATACAACTGTAAAATTATTAGAGCTTTACTAATTGGATTATTAATTGGAACTTTTGAGTCTTTCTTTTCTCTGGAATTGTAAATAGTTTGTGATATCAGCGGCCGAAGTGAGTATAGCTTTATAAAAAGTTTTTAATATCTGTAGAATATTTAAAAACATTGGCCTATGTGCTTTAAATTATGTTCAAGCCATCGTTTATACAATTATAAAATATTCCAATATAATATTTTCGTCAAGTCTTGTTTGTTTGTTTGATTCATAAAATAAAGGCGTTCGTTTCTTTACAGTTAAAGTAGGAATTAGCCAATGACTTTGATTTCACGGCCAATGAAGAATTTTCGATTATTTTTTTTCCTTTTTGCTTTGTTTGTGCGTTCGTTCTTTCATTCGTTCGTTTATTTTTGTTTTAAAATCAGGAAGGAGCTGAATCGAATAGATATTTGCGCGATTTAAAGCGTAAAAACGCTTGCATTCATAAATTTAATTAGCCAAGCATAGCGTAGCCTCGAAATAGCTGATTTTATTGAATTTGCACATAAAGATTATTATTTATTAGCAAGTTCGGCGGTAAAAATTTCGATGTATCTTACAACTACTTAATAAATTGTTACGTGTCTCGACTCTTGCATTTTGGCTATATAAATAGACAAAATATCGTATACTAATAAAAAAATCAAATAGCATTTGAATGCACTGATCTCGAACTTCTACGCTTTACAATAATCGTTGGGAAAAAGAATCTATAAAAATGGCTCATTTTTATTCTTGCCTAATAAGATTGTTAGAGGTGATTGTGTTGCCTTCAAACCTGAAGTTCTCAAGACTTTCAACTTAATTATTAAATAATCCAAAGTTATTCGGATAACTCGTGGATTCTCGATTAATCCGACATTTTCAGTTGGCCCGACTCGACTACTCGAGCTCAATTTGCAATTTTGAACAACTCTACAGCCTTACAGCTCATGTTATCGGATGACGGTGAGTCTCCTTTCTGACGAATGGTGTAACGTTGGCGTAATTCGAGGAGCTGCTAATAGTGCGACCCTGCTCCACCAGTATACTCCGATCAATTTTGTAATACTCCTTGCCACTGCGTGGACGCAAAGTTGTCGTTACGGCTCTTCCGCTAATTCTACACAACAATCACATAAGGCGTATAAAAATTTTGATTATCGCTTCATTCAATAACGACGACCACGACAACAACAACAACAAATTCTACTACTACTACTACTACTACTACTACTACTACTGCTACTACTACTACTACTATCACTACAATAATAATAATAATAATAATAATAATAATAATAATAATAATAATAATAATAATAATAATAATAATAATAATCATAATAACGATAACGATAACTATTTCCATAATAATAATAAAGATGATGATGATGATGATGATGATGATGACAATAATAATAATAATAATAACGATAGCGATAATAACGATAGCGATAATAACGATAATAGCAACAACAACATCAACAAGAACAATAGTATTACTGCTACTGATACTACTGCTACTTACTACTGCTACTACTACTAACACTACCAGTACCCCAATCCCAACACTATTGCTTATCATTGTTACTGTTATTATTATTGACATTATTGTTATTATCGTGATAAATAGACAGGTTTTCAATAACGTGAAAAATTTACGGTCAGAGTTTCGTAGGCTTGAAACAGTATCGAGAAAAGTTATTAGCAATATTATCAAATAGCTCAACGCGCAACTTGCTGATAATTACCTAAGATTATCAGGAGCATCGGAAGAAGAGTGCGAAGACAGAGATAGAGTTTCAATGTAGTCGGACATGTCGGAGGTGCCACTACTCGTACTTCGGGAATCGATGTACGGTACGTTGGTCACTTCCCCGGGACTATTAAATTCCTTCGATCCCTTCGTTGGTAAGCAAGTCGGTATGTCGGCCTCGGCGGACGACGATTTCGTTGGCAATTTGGTCCTGTGAAATTGGAAAGTCAGCTCTCGCAAGGGATCGCTGGATTTGGACTTTCTTGGCAGGCTATTATGAAAGCACGCGGGTGGCGGACTCTTGCGATACATCAATGCTATGCTTTGCTTCTTAACCAACGTATTGGTCGGCGCCGTTGGGAATTCAAACTCGACGAACTCGGCGGTTCGATGGCTTAGCGAGCCCGTCGAGACGCCTGAGTCATTGCTGCTCGATGAGTCGCGATTGTGGCCGGCTTTCGACGGCACCGACGACGATCTCCGGATCTTAATGGAAGATAGGGGCTGCGGAGAGAGCGAGAGGGCGCCGGGGCTGCCGTTCGTCTCCGTCTCGGAGTCGGCGAGTAGCTCGTTGCTCACCAAAGCCTTATCGGTATCGCTGGGACACTTGTGGATCGGCACGTTCGGCGTAAACGTGTCTTTCTCGTCGTCCAGATAATGAGCCGACTCCACGGAGTACGACCTCTTTCGCAGAAGCATGCCCAAGCTGCCCCCGGCCTCGGAACTCGACATTTCCAGAAGACGGCGACGGAAGTACGGACTGGAGAGCATCGCCGAGCCCGGGACACGATACTCCGACTCGGATCGCTTCCTGCCGATTTCGAGGGGCGACAAGCCCGACAGGGCCGGATTACTCGAGCTTTTGATGCCGCTGCAGAGCCGCGAGAGCACCTCCTTGGAGCAGGCGTTGTGCGCGGGTTGCATCGGCAAGTAGCCGGGAATCGGCTTCCTCGGTCCCTCGTTATCCTCGTCGACGACCAAATAATTCTCACTGGCCTTCTTCAAGTGGCCGCACTTCTGACAAACCAGGGTATCCCCCTTATCAACATCCCCGTTTCGATGCTCGTCTTCGACCCTCGCCTCCTCCTCCACTTCACCCTTCGCGAGCTCGCGACCAGCCTCGCGTGCCATGCCACCGGAATGCAGCCCGACCTTGGAAAGCAGCTCCTTGCTGTTTTCGTAATTGCCGAGGGACGTGGTGAAGTCGATGTTCGCGTAATTACCGGATTTGGCCTCCGGCTGAGTATCGATAACCGGCTCGACGTTCTCATAATTGCCGCCCTTGACGCTCTCCTGGGGCTGGTGAATCGGGCAGGCGCCAGCATTGCCCAAGCTTTGACTAGATTCCACGCTGGCGTCGTTGCGCGTGGAATTGTATATGGCCAGCTGGCCACTGGCGTTCACCACGGGCATCTTGCCCTCGCCCGACAGCCTAATCGGCTTGACGCTGATACCCGTGGGCTCGATCCCGGCACCTCGTCGACAATAAGGAAGGACAAAACCGGCCCAGCTCATGACGTTGTGACAAGGACAGGCTAAGCTCTTGGGCGCTTGTGGCGTCAGTTTCGCTGGGCAACCGCACTGCTGCAGCACCACGGCCTGGGGTACGTGAGGCGTGTCGTAATTGGGATAGGCTTTTGGTAGCCCAAGAAATTCTTTAATTTTTCGCGGGGTGTCGTAGTACTGGTCGGCTAACGGCTGCTGTGACTGTGGTTGCGGTTCCGGTTGCGGCTGCGGCTGCGGCTGCGGCTGCGGCTGTGGCTGTGGCTGTGGGTGCGGCTGCGGCTGCGGTTGCAGCTGTGGCTGATCCAGCGAAATGTGATGGGCCAGAATCGTCTTTGGGATATCGTAATTTTCGTAAATGGCCCCACCTACGACAAACGTAAGCTCGTGAATTGTTGGCTCGGATGAACGACCTCGCGACCGACGTGGGGTCGGCTGTAGTTAGCGTAAGGCCTTGGGTCGGGCGACCGGTGAAGCGATACGTACCGTTTCTTGGTGGGCTCGGTGCGGGCTTGCGGGTGCAAGAGCAGAGCTGCGGAAAATCCGCGGGAAGTGGCATCGGTGGCTTCTTGGCCTTCCTCGGGCCGGCTTGACTCGGCTTGGGCGGCCTCGGCGGCAGCGCAAGGGGACTCGGCGAGTGGCGTCGCGGCCCGACCGCCGGCGTCGCCTTCTGTTGTGGCGTCGGCTGCAGCGGCGGCTGCTGGGATTGAGCTTGAGACTGGGACTGAGACTGGGCCTGGGGCTGGGACTGAGACTGGGACTGAGGTTGGGGTGAGCAGCGACATTCACCGGGCTGCCCGATCCCCGAATAGTCGCTCCCATCCTGACTGCTACCGCTGTAGGAGGAGAGGGAGATCCGGTCTGCCGCGCGCGGCTGCAGGTGGCCAAGGTAGCCCAGCTGGCCGAGGTTGTTCGAGCCCGTCGACGACTTGGACATGGCGCCGAGTTTGCCGATGCAGCTCGAGCAACGCTCGAGGCACGCCGCGGTCCCGTGCTGCCTCGACAAAGAGCAGCTCCGCCAATCGGCGGCCACGCCCCCCTGCTCCGCCAGCTCCGAGACCAAGGAGCGCGAGTCCTCGCTCTCGGCCTCCTGGCGACTCTCCGTCGATGACCAGTAGGAGGAGGACCCGTCGGTCTTGAAGCCGCCGTCGCAGCGCTCGTCAAACTGGTGCAGGAGATCGCTCGCCCGGGTGTCCGAGCGGGAGACCTGCCGACGGGGGCTCTCCTGGCAGCTAAGGGCGGGGAGCGACCGCTTCCTCGTCGAGAGCTTGCCCTCGGCCGCGAGCTGGAGGGCACGCACGATCTCGTCGCCCTGATCGCTTATGAGCACGTGAAGGCCCTCGCCACGGCCGCAGCGCGAGCCACCCTCGAAGCAGAAGCGGCCCTCGACGACGCCGTATCGACGCAGTTGGCCGATCTCCCAGGTGCCGATGAGCCGGGGTGGCACCCCGACTGTCATGCAGAACCGGTGCTCCTGCACGTGGAGGTGTGCCGGCCCGGTACTCAGCTTCGCTCTCACCGGGGCGCTCGAGATGAGGATCAGGAACTGCTGATCTGTTTACAGAGAGGAGACGATGAATCGTCGCTCAATTGTTTTAATTAGCCAAGATTCCCTCCTCATTCCCACCAGCCGTCGACTTCCCCTTACTACTTCTTACAATCGCTTCACGATAAAAGTCCCTCGAACGCGCTATTCATAGTTCTTTATCCGTGCCTTTGAACCGAAGCCTCGGTTAGCTGGTTGTCTTCCTCGAGTAGACGGGCGCTCTTTCCATTTCCAGTGCAACGTCTCTTATCGTCCTATTTTATCTATCTATTGTGCAAAATTGATCTTACTTTTAAAAATTTTTTATTTTTTATTCCTTGTTCCAAAGATCATTGTGTTTTTCTTTCTTATTGTTTCTCTTTTGTTTGTTTTTGTTTATTATTGTTCGATAAATGTACAAATAGTTTCTCTCGTTGACGTTAATTGTGCACGCGTTTATTTCTATACGTGGGACAAATTTGAGCAAATAAATACACACGGTCATAAAATTACATGACACAATTATGATTTTTCATGTTTATAGAACATTTTTTCCCCTTAAAATAGATGGGAGAAATGCACATTGTAAAGGAGCGAAATAATATGTCTTGCGCAGTTGTTTACCTTGTTTACAAATTAAGACAATTGGTACGGTCGTGGATGAGGCGAATCAACGTGTGGGTCGATTAGTAGTAGCGCGTCACGATAAATATATTTGCAAATGTTGGAATAATAATTCTAATAATATTCTTGTATATTGTATAATTACGTTATTGAGAGGAAGCAATAAGAAATTATTAGGATATCCAATTAAGTATAATATTTATGTATTATGCGATTATATCAAATACAATAGATACGTAATATTTTTAAGACACCGATGACTCATTATATTTGAATTCATTATATTTTATGGAGAAAAAACGGATGTTTTTCATTTAATCCTGAAATATTGCAATGAGTGCGACGAAATGAATGTGGTATATGCGAGTTATTTTAGTTTTGCATTTGATTAAATTATAACAAAGCTCTAATTTTTCGATCTGACTTTGGCATCGTTATATTTTCGACGCGATAACATCGACATATTCCGAATACTAAGAATAAAAAAATTTCAGAACTACGTGAATGCAAGCAGCGGCTTAATGAGTCCTTTTAAAAGAATAATTGGGGACGCTGTTTGACTCGAGACTTTAAAGTAAAATGCAATAAAATGTTATTTCTATGGTCGTTAAATTCAAGATTGAGAGAAAAGTTGAAGCACGGATTAAAATAGTTGATTTCTAACGTATTGTTTTGTAGCGAGCAAAACGTTACAACAGAATCGATGATAATAAAACTGATGGGCTCCGCAAGGAAAAAAACATGCATAAGAAAATTCTGCAAACATCGTAAATAAAATACACGCTTTAAATGCGATTCCCTTGCGCCGGATTTTCTTTTAACTTAAAAAGAGGATCAAAGAAGCACTCGTGATTAAGCGTGCGCGCGCGCACTGTAAACTACGTCAAAGAATGCAAATAAAATGTTCCCGCTGAAAATGCCGATATGCTAGAATTTAGGTCGTGATTTAATCAGCATGTAATCGGACATATTTCTTGTTCCTTTAGTGCACGTATCTCGAATGAAACTTAATAGTTGCTTTTAATTATTCATCATCAGTAGCGATGCTATAACTTATAATTCTCGCTCAAAGTTACTTTCAAAACAGAAGTGAAATACAGCGAGACATTGATTTTGCTGCAGAGTAGGACACGGCAAGTTTAAAATCTACTCTTTGCTAACTGTTCATTTTGTTTTGAAAGCCATTGATTGTACATGTGCACTTCGATCGAAAAACCCACGGCTAACTGACGGCAAGAAGCACACGTGTACGCCGCATTAAAATCAACGCCGGCAAATCGTTAAACTTATCATCGTCGTGATTAAACGGAGCGACGTAACGACGTTTAGCAGTCAGCCGTACTTGATGTATTTGTTACGTCTCCTGGGCGCTGCTGCAGACATAAACCCAGCCGAAGACCGGAGAATAGTCGTCGACGTCGGGTTCAGTTAACGACCCGAGTAGTTTCTTGCCGAGCACCGTAAATTTCTCGCGTCCGGCTCTCTTCGGCACAACGCGCAACGAATTTTGATCCGTCACGCCCGTGGACATTATTACGGCATTTCGTAAAGGTGGGAAAGCGTTAAAGGTGCGCGCGGACGAACGCGAGATATGCACGGTGAAAATTTCATAAATCTCTTGTAATGTATTAAAGCTACATTTGTGGAATTTCGGCGGCAAGTTGTTCATTCATAAATAAATGTCGTATAACGAAAGAATGCCGGCTTTGACATTTATTCCCTTTCCCAGTAATCGTGATTTAAATATATTATCCACCATGCTCTTTTCCATTCTCCAACACTCTCCGCTTCCACCCCCCACCCCCACCCCCCTTACCGAAGAAACGAATAATCATAGTACACGGGAGTTGCCGTTCCATAAGTATTTGCACGTATAAATTACGCTAATGAAACGTGTAATCTTGTGCATTATCTTGAAAAATATTTACAATGTTGAATTTGTTTAGTCTGTAATTTGTATTTGCTTCGCGAACAAATAAGTGCGCGTGCTAAGTGTGATAATCGAGCGCATAATGGCACTATTATTGTAGCTGTGTCAGGATATAAAATGTTTGATACGAACTTCCATAGTTGAATCATCGCCCACTTTAAGTGGAAAACATTGCATTAATCAATCAAAATATACTTAGTAGATGTAGGCACGCGATTTATAATAAATATATATATATATATATATATATGCACATGTGTGTGTATATAATTAATAATACTTTTCATTAGGAGTGGATTGGACTGAAGTTTCAAAAGATTGATAGATGAGCGTGAGCGTTGTAGCCTCAAATGTGATAATACATACGTTGGGATGTGTGAATAACTGTTGTATTGTAAATTTTTTATCGCGCACACATTTTCTTTTGTACTACTCTTATTGTTAAAATAAAATAACGTTTGCGTGAAAGTGAAGGCAAAAACAATGGAGCTCGATATAATCATCCAATTAATTATGATATGCGTGCGCAGTTCCGTGGCTGCATATAACGTGCTTCAGCGCTAATATAATATTTACATAACATTATAGTTATACCTTCGCCCAAATTATTGGATATCTTGACCTGCCACTGTATCAGCCTCTCTCGCGTGTCAAAGGCGAGTACGACAGTCACATCTTGACAGATTATTGCAATTGTGTTGGATTCTTTGTCCAAAGTGAAGGCGCTTTGTACCCCGAGAAAATGTTGTAAGCTCAATGACGCTTTCGTCTGACCCTGTTTGTACCTATCCTTACTGTCCCCGTAGAGCTGCAGATGCAGGCAGTCTGAAAGTCAGAATACAAAGGCGTTTTAAAAGAAATTCAAACCGCACGTTGAGAGCGTAGCCACACGCACATGCACTCGCGCAAACAAACGCACAAAGGGAAAGACGGACGGAGAGAGATAGCAATAGAGAGATAGATAGATAGAGAGAGAGAGAGAGAGAGAGAGAGAAAGAGAGCACGCTCGCGTGTATATGTCGCGGCTAAAAGGGCCATTTGGAAGTAGCCGCGCTCTTATTTCTATACAGCTATATCACAATGTAGCAGTCTACAACATGATGTACTAAGCCTTACATTTCTATTGAGAATACGACCAGGCTGCTCTGCTTTTGTAAAATCCAACGCTTTTATTAAAAGTAAAGCGGCTCGACCTGCGCACATGGAGAATGAGCGGTAGGTATGGCAAGAGATAATGCATGCTTGCACGCAGGTAAATTTGTATCACGAAGGGGACGCGAGTATTGATTTTTCAAAAATCATCCGTCTGCTCTCTCCTTCGATTCGAGCCCGCGCTTCCCTAATTTATGTGTGACACCTTGCCGCGACCACGCAAACGAGCAACAATTTTAATTAAAGCCAGCCCAGCCAGCTTGAGAAAAATCCGTCCCCTCCCACGCCCCGGCCTCATTACATTACCAACGACCGCTGTCGTAGAATCTCGGAACAGCTGTATGACAAGTAGACGGGGAGTAAATAGCTGTCGTAACTATAAAACGACGCTTCTAGTTACAAAAAAAAACACAAATCGCCATTGTCCGTGCCTAATACAACACTTGGCTGCTCAAAATATCGTAAAGTCGTGATATAATGAGGAAGAGGAAAAGGAGGAGGAGGAGGGAGGTTTGGGACGAGGGTAAATTGAGGGAAAACTATTTTCAAAGCGGGTCCAGGAAGCCGCTTCGTAGGGGTATTTTTCTCAGCTAGCGTACGCACTATTAAATTTATGTGTTATTCGATCCTGCCAATCAGTAACACATGTTCTAAATATGTCGAAGCCGGAGGAGTCAAAGCTACAACGAGGGGAATACGGCGGCTCGACATGATACCCGAGACACTCTTTGCACCCTGCAACGGTCAGGGTCAACAAAAAAGCGTGAGACAAAGAGGGAGGCGTAGCCGGCTGCGTTGGCACAAAAGCTTTATCACGGCTCGTTTCTAGTACACCGACACCTACGCAAACCTACGATGATAATTTTGAGCTTGAAGTGCCACGTCTCGGGTGTCCTCGAGACTGCGGCAGCAGCGTATTAAGCTGGCCAAAAGACTCGTGCCAGCACTCGAGGACTAAATGTTTATCGATCCTCTTTGGTCCCTCTCTCGCCCACGACAACGCAACAATCGCTATTACTACTACTATTGTTGATGTTGGTGCTGCTGCCGCTGCTGCTGTTACGTGTAGATCACCACCAACAACCGGTCCATCGCTTTTTCTCTTTGTGTCGTTATTGCTTCTTCATATGGTTATGGGGAAGCGTCTCTGTTCTCTACGGTCGGAGGCTTACACCGACGGCAAGGCGACGCAGGAGGAGATTGGACGTGTAGGATTGGACGTGTAGGATTGGTGGTGTGTGGGGTCCGATGAGCCGCGCGAGTCATGAATTATGTAGACCCAATGAGGTGCCTTTTCAAATTCAAATGACTGCACCCTGCCTATCTGAATGCGTATACAAACATTTTTTTTTTGTGCGCGAGGCGTTATTCATTAGGAATGATGTTCTTTTGACTTCTCAATGGCAGTATCCTCGAGTGGCTCGTAATGCGCGCAACCAAATCCTCGAAAATGACTTTTTGATGGCTCGTCATTTATTAGTTCATTGCTCACGTAAGAAAGTGCGCGCGCAGCTGTCGATGCAGGCATACTCCTGTTGTTTATTTTTTATTATATTTTTTATGAACATATCGAGTAAAATGCAGGCATTGTACGAGATAAGAGAGGATCGGTATATAATAAACAAGAGATAAGTGATTCGTGCGAGAGGAAGTGGAGGGAGAGGGAGAGAGGGAGAGAGAGAGTATTTTCCTGGCGAGCCAATGACGTGTGCGCTTCTATGAGGTTTCAGCTGCACGCCGATGATCTCTCTGCCTCACGAAATCTTATTTTTCTTATTGATCCTCGAGCTTACAACAATACGGACTCTCGGCTACCAAGGAATATTATAAAAATTCTATTTTAAAATGACTGGGGCTTTGTTAAAAATATACACCGTTTGTTTTTACTGCCGTATTTGCGTTTTAACCCGGAACTTTAAGTACAAATTGAAAAAATATACGCTTGAAACGAAAGTATTGTGCTTGCTAGGCGAAAAAATACGAAATATGTTAATGTGAAATAATTTTGGCTCCGTACGACACGCTTTAACGAAATTAAAAATATTAATACGACGACAAGATTCATATTTACTTCTACGTGAATAATGGAGAGTTGGGATAATTAAAGGTTCCGCGTAAATGAACTTTGACTTGTAATTAGAGAATCTTGTGATTGATGTAGAGGCCATTATTTATCGTCAAGCATCTGGGTTTTTAATTTTGATAAAGCCATTTCGTTCGACCTTACACTATTTTGACAAATAACTCGACTACTTTGGCCTTTTCAATTAAATGCAGAATTTCCATTCCATCATTTAATATTTGCACAACAAATGTTTCACTGAAGCTTAAAACTGAAATGCACCATGTTTTTTTTTTCTTTAAATTCTTTTATTTGCTTAAGCATATCGCATTACCTGCACAATTTCTTAGTATTATAACTAACTGAACACGGCATTATGCTTTTTTTTTTACTAGTCGAACTAAGTTGGTAATAAAAAGTAATAATACTTTAAGTTTAAAGTAGGAAAAACTTTTTTAATATCATGTATCTGCTATTAGCTTGGTTGGCACATCGCGTCTACTACTATTGCAGATAAAAGAAGACGAAGAGAAGAAAAAATTGTGAAATCGAGCACCTATCGATTGCTATAAATTAGATATTTCAAGCTAATGGCTAAAGCATTGTGATTATTCGGATTTTCAACATCCATGCAGCCAGTAAAAAGTTCATAAAACGTGCGATTAAATACGACATTGACACGCGCGCGGCCGATGATTCGACGACTAACGAAGGTAATGGCTTACAATGCGCTTGGCAATAACCGAAGGAAATCCCCCAAATGTCTTAAGCATTTTATTCATCCTAAATAAATTGCCGTTCCCAATGTCCTCGGAGCGATGTTCTTGGTCTTAGACCTTTTGATGAAAAAGTGAGAAGAAATACGATAAGATGCAATAACGTCACAATAGTATAAACAAAGCAATGGGATAAGAGGGGCGAAGGAGTTAGATGCGCCTGGTATATGTGTATGTCGTGGGAGTCAGTGATGCGTTAAGACGAAGTTTACGAGCCGGGCCAAAGTCGTGCTTGCAGCGGCACAAAGAGACGATGACACGAACGAGTACCCTGGAAAATATTGGGCGGCGCTTCGGGGAAGGGACATCCGCAGGCGCTGCGAAACGGCTTTCCCAAGGCGTTATCGGCCTCTCTTCGCGCGCCGCTGCAGCTACGCGGCACATTAGGAAGGGAGGCGAAAATAGCGGCAACCGTCGGTTGGGGGGGGGGAGACCTGGGAGCGACATTTCCCAGCTACGTCCCTCCTTAATATGCATAATACCGAAGAGCGGGATGAGTATGGAGGAGAGAAACGGGGACGGAAGCGCCTTATCGCTGACGCCATTCAACAAATGTTCGGGCAGAAAGAATTATGAATGCGGAATGCAGGCCCTGGGCGGGGGAAGAAGTCATCGGCGTCCGTGGCACCTGACGCGCGCCCATTGTCCTTTCCCCGCCCGGAGGCTGACTAAGTCCCTGGCTATAGGGCGCCAAACGCGATTATTATGCAAAGAGCCGGATTGCCGGTGTTATTGTAGCGCTCGGGGCGCCATCGAAAATGCCACTAATGCTCCAGAATACGATACATTGCACTTACAGAGGATGATGGGCGCAAGTAGGGGGAGGAGGAGGATGAGGAGGAGAAAGTGTTGGTAACGGGGGGACGTGAGGGGGGTGGACTAAGAGGGGAAGGGGGAGCGGAAAAAGCAAAGGCCTGATGATGGGGTGGGGAGTCAGTCCATCGGGAGTCTCGTAGCAATATTCGGCTGACTGAATCGAGTAGCGGGGTTAGCGGGCGGGCGACGGGTTCATTAGCGAGAAGTGCATTAATTGGGCGCGTATCGGGAGTCGAAGGCAGATTTTGCCAGCAATTTATCGGCGCTCGTTGCTGGTCGCCTTTCGTCTCCTTAGCGCTTCAAGCCCTCGTCCTGCTCCTCGACGCCAGGACTCGGCCAGGGCTAACGCGTTAACGGGGTGAGGTTAAAAGTTGTGCGAGTTCACGGGTTCGCGGATTCGCGAGTTGGAACGAGTGGTGGTGGCCGGGGGACTTTAGAAGAGACCGGTCCGTGACTGCTTCCCGCTCTTAAGACGGCCGAGTTTGAGCGGCTCTTGAGTTTGCGCGAGCAATGGCCCCGAAGCGTCCCAGCGCTCGTTCACTTTTACATTCACTCGGATCGGCCTGCCGTCTCGATATCCTTATTTCTTCCGTCTCCCACTCTTCCTCACCTCGTTCCCCTCTTTCTCCTCTTTTATTACTCTTCTCTCTCTCTCTCTCTTTCTCTCTCTCTCTCGTCCTTTGTCTGTCTGTCTGTCTGTCCGTCTATCTGTTTGTCTGCTTGTCCCGAGAAAGCCCGGCGCTTGGAGAATGAGAGAATGTGTGTAGAGCTACTACTTGACGAGCTCGTATTCGGGGAAATTCTATTTTAATTCTATTTCGAATTGCGCGTGAGTGCGCGCTCTACACGAGAAATCGCGGCTTCGCGGGTCGGGCGCGTAAAAAAGTACCGGAATAACGTTCGTGATTACGACGAGGAATAATAGAATCGGAAAAAGGGGGATGGAGAAGAGATCGTCCTTTACACTCGGCTTTTACGCTTTTTCGCTTATTCTGGAACAATGAACGAACATGGGCTGCTAGTACCACTATTACTACACCACCACCAATTCTGTTACTACTGCTGCTGCTGCTGCTGTTAATGTTAATACTGTTGTTGTTGTACATCGTCGTCGTCGTCGTCGTCGTCGTCGTCATGATAGCTGAAGGGCCACGGCAACTAAGGACGTTACTTTGGCCCCGAAAATTACACAACGATCGGGGCTTTGATACGTGGGAATCGCGTTATCAGGCTGGACAACGCCTGACAAACAGCTAATGCCGTTGCCGTAAACGCTTAGGCCAGAACAAAGCCCTTTTTACGCCCGACTTCATTTTTCACGTCTAACGCGAGTACACCTGTATTTGCCCTCTCGCACCATTTAACTACTTCTCTTGTATTTTCATAAAATTCGAATTAACGTTACCTGCAACTGGGGACAGCTTCCGCATGACGCACCATCGTGATTTCCACTGAAACATAATAACAATAACGTTTACCATTACAAATAGGCTTTGTTGTCGACGCAGAAGCGCATCGACACTTACAGAATACAAACGATAAAGCGATACGTCACTGGCATAATTAATTACGATTCGACTAGCGAGTGTGGTTAAATTAATAAACACGTGTGCCTTCTTTAGTCGGCGACTCGATGAACTTTCAACTAAATACTTTGTGGGCGAAACGAGTTTCTGCGAAGGAAACGCATAGTAGAGCCGCAAAGCACGCGTTTTGACAGCGTCGACGGGAATCGAAGGGAAAGGCTTTTCAGCCGCGTTCTTTGGATTAATGGCAAAGGCACGCGCGGTCGCCGACAATGAAAAAGTTACGCACGCCCATTTTCATCGGCGCTATGGGCGACGACGAAATTTTCTACCAGAGACAAATCAAAGCGCGAGCGCATCATTTTTAATGCACCGCAATCTTTTTTTAACCTCTCGTTGTCACGAGTCTAAAGCATTAGGGTTAATGCGGCAACGGCGGCACTCGTAAGAATCCAAACAAAAGCTTTTCGCAACGTCAAACGCGACAATCTCAGTCCAAAGCGAATATTTAACCATTACAAAACGCCACTACCGCCGCACCTCGCCACTGCTAAGCGTCCGTACCCTCGAGCTCCCTTCCCCTCCCGCCCATTACCTCACCCCAAAGTCTCATAGTCCCCCGTCACCGTCCCTTCATCGCGCAGCGTCATTCGCGCAGCAATAATAACGCATTACCCGTTAATTAGCTATGAAAGGCGAGCACGTTCCTCCTGTAAATCATAAGCGCGGGGACGCCAAGACGGATGGTTATTTTCATTAGGAACTATTCGGTCAATATAATAATGGAGTTACGATATAAATATAAATGTGGTTGCTACCCTTTCAAGCTTCAAATGTCCCTTACTCTCACTACCAACATCCCCCACTTCCACCCTCCGGCGCTCATACGCTTACAGTACCTCCCTCCCACAGGCATCCGCGATCGGAATAGACTAAAGTGTCGGGAATCACGAGAAGTACTCGACGCTCGCTCCATCTCAGCGGTATTTTCATTTCAATATGCCTGGCGGCTCAAAGCGAATTCATTACAAGCGCATAAGCACATAAGCGCATAAGCGCGCGCGCCCGCGCGAGGGCATTCCTCTACGTCATATACATTGGCGGAGCCACGGCCAAGTTCGAGCAATGAACACACGAGGCACAGCCGATCGCCGGATACATCGCGTACATTCGCTAGTTAACAGATTCTTTTTAAGCCCGCGAAGTTTCATCATTTTTGACAGCGACTACCCCTCGCCCACCCCGCACCACCACACCCGTCGCCAATCCCAACCCGATGAGCGGCCGTGATCACTATTTTCCTCGCTCTTCTGGTTTCCCGAGGAACTAGGACACGTAGAGATAGATCCAATGAAAAATAGCGACACGCTCGGCTCGAGATGATTTAGTGCCCAGCTTGAGCTACCATAAACCTCTCCGTATAACGTAGCGCGGCAGTCACGCCAGTGCTTTTCCTATTACGAGCTTCGACTTTTCATGATTCCCGAGCCCACCTCGATAGCTTTTCCTCTCTTTCTATTCTCAGTCCCCGACGTTGTAATTCCTAGCGCGCCATCGACCGACTCGCGAACGGCATAATGAAAGGCCACGCAGCCAAACTCACCGCCGCTCCTAATTATAAGGAAACGGGGCGAAAAACTAGAAAACGACTCACCGAGACTACAAGGAAGATGGTAACGGAAGGGAGGGATGGGGGAGTGGACGACGATGTGGCTAAACGGGGAAGGAGAGTAAAGGGTGGGTAGGTAGGAAGAAACGCCTATCATCGACACGCCAACTCGCGCTGCTCGAACGTCATTCATTTCGCATTAACTTAAACGAGCAACGGGGCCCGATAGGAGATACAAAACATTATTACCGCGCGTGATAAGAAAATATTGCTTATCGTGTTCTTGTCGCGGCCAATGAGCCGAGTGCGGCGCATCCCTCCTTCTGAACGCCACAACGGCCTTGCCACCTGAAAACAATTATTCCGCGCGATTTCGTGCACCACGCCACACGGACGCGCGCGCACACCCACGCACCTCTGAGTCCCGGATGAGCATTTTCATTGTTTGCGCTTTCGCTTGCCACCGAGCCCGCACTTATCAGTATTAATGCGCGTATTATAGCGAGCGCAACGCACGATAAGAGGAGCATTTCGAACGCTTCGAGGCGGCCGTGGCTCGATTCGACGCCAGCGGGTGAGATTAATCGTCGTGCCTTCAAGAGAGAGGGGGAGAGAGAGAGAGAGAGAGAGAGAGAGAGAGAGAGAGACGAAAGTATATCGAGCGGCGCACAAGAGCCAGGAAACGCGAGAAAAACGTCTCTCGGATGTCAAGGGGGCGCCAAAGATTTGTAAGGGGCGGGGGCAGGACAGTGAGGGAATGAAGGGGAACCTGGCGCAGGGGTGTCGAATTTATTCGGTGGAACGCTTTCGCGAATTACTAAGATCGTCGAGTTTTATTATCCGGCTCGTGGCTCATGCTTGCGCGTGCAATAATAAAGCATGGAACGCACGACTCGGGCACGGCCTCGATGCAATCTCGATACGCTCGGTAACGTATGAAAGCACGAAGTACCAAGACTACACTTGGTCAAGACGAAGAAGAGGATTTGGCCAATAATACAGTAAGCCGAGCTCTTTAATCGGCGGTGAGCCACGGGAATGAAAAGTTAGCGTCCCCACGCTCCTGTTAGCCCAAGAAACGACTCAACTCGGTGGTAAAATCAATCGGCCAATGCATGCACGCATGCATGCACGCACGCACATACGCACGTACGCACGTAGCCACATGTAACGGGGGTGGAACGAGCATGACAGTAGCGGCGACGGCACGGAGGGGGGGGGTCATAGTAAACAAATCGCCACCCCAAATTAACACGTCAGCGATGTTATGGCTTGTGAGCAGAAACGATAGAAGCGAGGGGAGAAATAAAAAGAAAGTCGCAAACGCTGGGGGGGG